ATTCCGACTTTGATAAGGCAGGGATTCACATGAAATGATTATCAAGATTAAATATGGCATGGCATATGTATTATTAGGTATGTGTAATATGGTTGAGTAGTAGGTTAATTCTGCTTAATTATATAATGAAATTGTATTATATAATCAGGGTTTTACTTGGAAGCGTGAGCAACTACGTGGTGCAAAATGCAAGTTGCCCAGTCACAGTTGTGAAGGGGACCTCCCAAAAGGCATAGAGTTTTCTAATTTGCATCAAGTCAAATTTATTGCCTTTGCTTGGATTTGAAGAAATTAATTATATATTTGGAGTGTAATATGTAGTTCTTGTGTGTGTGTGTGTGTAAATATATGAATGTGTGTAAACTCTTTATGAGAAATTTCTCTCTCTAGAGATCGTTCTCCTTTGTGAGATTAGGGTTAGTGTTTGGGTTTCTCTGTGCTTTCCGCTATTCCTTTTTTCCCATTCTGTTTGTCGCGTCTTATTTTCTTCTTCTTCCGATCCTTCCTTCTTCATTTCTGCGTCTATTCCGTTCTTTTTTCAGTGTCTCTTGTGTTCAAGTGTTCATTTCCCAAGGGTATTAGGGTTTGAAGGTTCGAGAGTGGGTAAGATCTGGTGAGCTAATGGAGGCAGATATAACAGACAAACTACAAAAGTTTGTACTCTCGACGAAGGAGGACAATGGAGTAGCTCTCGAGGATGGAGATGTTAATCCGAGTCTGGGCGACTGCAAATTGAGTCTAATTGGTAAAGTGTTTGGGGAGAAAAGGGCCAATCTGAACGGTCTAAAAGCCACTTTAGGAGGAATTTGGACAACAAAAGAACCATTCTCGGTAAGAAGTATAGGGCCGAATCTATTCCAATTTCTTTTTAAGGTGATTGAAGACAGGGACAAAATCCTGGATGGTAAAACTTGGTCATTTGATGGCCAGTATATATTGCTAAAGAGATGGGAACCGGACCAAACGAACTTCTCTGACGATGAAGAAAAGATAAAGATATGGGTTCAGATCCACCAAATTCCCCTTCATTGGATCACTGAGGAGACGGGAATGAAAATCGGGAGGCTGATTGGGAGGGTCCTTGATGTTCAAATCCCGGTAGGGAACAACTGGAGCGGTCCCATCATCAAAGTTCTGGTGGAGCTTAACCTAAAAGAGGCCCTACCTAGAGGTGCTAACATCAAACTGGGAGAACAAAGTAAGTGGGTGGCATTCAGGTATGAACACCTTCAAAATCTATGCTTTTACTGTGGTCTTATTGGTCATAGTGACAGAACTTGCCTTACTAGAAAAGATGATGTTAAAAAAGGAGAGCTTAAACCAGGGCAGTTTGGTGAGTGGATGAGAGCTTCCTTTATTAGCCCGTCTGAGAGTAGAAGTCCTAACTCCAGCCTAAGGGGTAGTGTTTCAGGTGATAAACCTGGTAACTCTCGTAGTAATGAGGTGGGAACCAGTGGAGTGGGGATTGATCTGATTAACAAGGTAGGGAGTGAGGAGGGTCATAAGGAGAGGGTGTTAGTTTTATATACTGAAAGCTTGGCTTTGCATGTTATTACACATTTACCCTTTATGAATGAGAATCATGTTAGATTAAACAAGTTCTACGTTCTGTTGTTCTGCACTTAGATAGGGTGGGTCGTCATCGGGCGAACCGAAGATCACTCTGTCAGTCACTTGCGAACAAGAATAGTTGTTCACAACCTAGATGGACATGAACACCCCATCCGAACGGTTGTAGTGTCAACTGTACAGTTTGTCTTGACTGATTAGTTGCACTAGTACATTTATGTATTGAACAGGATCCCAGAGAGGAGAAG